ATGCTTTTTGAAGAATTTGTTTAAATTTAAAAAAATAGAAAACTTCCTATATCTGTTATTAAAAGATATAAATAAATTTGAAATAAAATATTTTACGTATATGATTTTGGCAAGTTAAAATAAATTACTATTCAGTATATTTTTAATTTATTAATAGAAAATGATTGATAAATATTAAATAACAATAACAATTAAATAGTTAAATAACTAAAATTTATGCCGTGTACAATTAATAACATATCAATGAAATGTCGTTATTAAACTTTAAAAACTAGATAGGTATGTCTTAACAACAGTTTAAACTCATATTAAATTTTCAAAATAATTTAATATATAATCTTGGATTTTGATTCCCTTCCTCATTTCAAAATATATTATTATATTATGTTTATGTATATTTTTTTTTAATCAGACATGGTTTTTACTAATTAATTTGTATTTAGGTTACTACTACATGTGATTCAACAGCCATAAACTTAGTGAAAGGTCTTGGACCTGATAATGTTATAGACTACACAGCTAAAGATGCGCGACAACAGTTGGAAGAACATGGAAAGTATGCAAACATTATATTTATAAATATTAGTTACAATAATGTTGTAAATCAACAATATAAAAAAATGTATTAAAAACATTTATTAACAGTGTTTCAAATATATTTTTTGTAACATTAATTCATATATGATCATTCTTGAATTGAATAGTAACTGGATAGTGTCAGGGCCGGATTGGTTAGGCAAACTACCGAGAAAATCTCTGTAGGCCGCTTAAAGTTTGAGTGTGAGTGAAAATAAATTCATGTTCAAAATACGATTAACCAGCTATAAGCTTGTAATAATTATAGACGTAATTTTGGTCCACTGAATATATAAATGGGCCGCATAGAAGTGAAAATCTCGATTTGCCGATACATACCAATTCGCCCCTGTGGATAGTACTAAAAGCTTTAAGGGGACGCCTCACGGATATTTGTGGCCTCTGTCTTGCAAGTGCGTAGCATACCAAAACGCTCAGCAGATCGTGTTTAACTCGGTTAGCTGAATTAGTTGGTTTTGTACTAAAGTTAAATTTTTTAGCAAGTTATGCGTATATAATATAGCGTAAATTAAAAATATTCGTAACTCACTTAAAAACTGAATTATTGTAGAAAACCAACATACAAACACAGATAATTTTCTGACTGTCAAGTTTTATAATAGGTTGAATTCACTCTAATTTTTAAACTAATGGAGCTAAACGTTTTCTGCTGAGTGTACATTTTCTATGATACGCACTTGTAGGATGGAGACAACAAATATTTGTATGGAGTCCTTTTAAGAATAAACTTAACTACAATTTTTTTTTTTTTTTTAGGTACGATATAATTTTAGATGCAGCAGGAATATCGTATAATAAAATTGGTGTTTATACACCTTTGTTAAAAGGTTGGACTTGTTCTGCATTCATTACACTTCGCAGTCCCATTTTACTCAATACGGATTCATATGGCTTGGTAGGGGGCATGGTTAAAAATGCAATTGACCTTCTAGTTCCAAACATTTTATCTGGAGCAGTTTTCAAAGGATCTTCAATACGATGGGCTACTTTCCTTCCAATAGAGTGTGGTGTAAAAGAACTGGCTAAGCTAGCCGAAGAGAAGAAAATTTTAATTCCTCTGGAGAAAACTTTTAAATTTAAGGACCTTAAGGATGCATACAAAAGAGTACAGGATGGACATCTAAGGGGAAAAGTTATTGTAACTTTTGATAAACCTAGTATGGATAAAGCTAGATTAACTAATTGAGTGCTATTTATTGTAATTATAGATTCTATTTTGATGTTTACCATTATGAATAATGGTCAATCATTTTACACAATTTTGTTGTCTGTTAATAGTTTTAAAATTGATTTGTTTTCATAAATATTACTTTTTTTAAGAAAAATTCCTAGTAATAAATGAATGTTAATACTGTAAAATTAAATTGTTTGTCAAACGTTGATATTGTTACCAAATTATATATAGTTCTGATTTAGTCCTATAAACAAAATAAATTATGCTTTTTAAATAACTTATTTTAGAATTAATTTTCTAATAAAATTTTAAATTGCCACTCAAACTGCTCAAATAAACGTTACAACTATAAATACTTATCACTACCTACTCACTAGTTATTAGAATGAACACTACATTTATTCTGTGGTGTGAATGAGTATCATATATATTTTAGCAAATGTTTAGGTTTACTAACGAAGTAATGGTACTACATGGGTATAAATGTATAATGATATATTATTATTTATTACATGTATTTTATGTATTATATATTTTTATACATTATATTGCATAATAATACCTAATATTGTATAATAGTGTAGTCAGTGTAGACTGTAGATACTACAATTTGTTAACAATATGGTAATAAATCCGGATAAACTTAAAGTAAAAATTAAATTATTTAATATATCTTTCACTCTTAACCACGAATATAGTATTATCGCGATTGGTGATCTTAATTTGTGCACTTAGCTCACGATCAAAACAATATTTTCTAAGAAACAGTAATTCATTTGTATTTTTGCGTGGTAAGCTTTAAATTGTTATCACTGGCAGCAAGTTATCACACTTAATCGTTATCAATTTATCATCTTCAATTAATATTTTTTGAACAAGATACCACAGATATATATGTCTGTGCAAGATACAAGCAATACAAGCACAGAATAGATGAAACAATTTATCCCATTGTTTGGAGATTTTTCATTTCAACTTTCATGTAAGTATTTTAAATCTTAAGTTGTACTCCAATATTGTGATAACTGGCTGCCACTAGTGCCACATAAACAAAATAATAACGTTAGGTATATAAGTATATTATCTTATAGGACATAGGTATTCGTATATATAATAATATATTAAGCTTGTAAGCAATATCCATACCCAGTGGCTAGTACCATTGTTATAAAAAATAGTACCTTGTTCTATGCTATTTAGTACCTACCTAATGTTAAGGTAATAGGCTTATGTAGGTAATCACGTAAACTATACTATTTTTTTGGTTTTCCTTAATGGCTTATCTATCATCTAAAGTCTGATGCCGCGTTGCATACTATTGCATACAAAATTAGTTTAATTTAATGAACCAATCTGAGGGACAATTAATTCATTATCAATTCATTAAATGTTTACTCCATTGATTATTATTAGTTAGAACTTATTACCACACGTCACAGAGTAAGAAAATAATAAGTTTTTCAACATTTTATTTTTGTGTTGAAAAATAAAAACATATTTTTTTTAAAGACGTGTTTAACGGGAAAGATGTAATATTAAATTATTTCATAATTTTGTCACACTATTAAGCTGTGAACATAGATCGTAATCGTACCATTCGTACCTACAAGGCTACGAACTTAATTATTTTTCTTTCTTATGAATAATATCTTATTTTATGGTTACGGCGACTTACGGCCGTCATGTCCATAATAATATACCTACTGCCTATCCGCATACGCCTTTCCGGCTTGAATAATGTGATTGCTGGAATTTTTTATATTATAAGCAATGTTATTTTATTTTAAGGGAATTTTCGATACCGTATTTTTTTTATTTTTGTCCAACACACGCGCCACATAGTAGGTACTTTAGACGTGGTTTTTGCCAAACATCCCAATTGATCTATTGAAGCGATAATAATTCCGAAAACAGATTTGAATTTGTCGTCAAGTCTACTTGAAATCGACTTTCTCACATGTTTGATACTATCCCCCAAATTTCTAAAAATGTCATATCAAAAAAAAGTATTTAAAAATTGTCGTATTTTAATTTTTGGAGAAGTTGAAATCAATAATTCAAAAATGTGGGAAAAACGGTTTCAAGTAGATTTGACGACAAATTCAAATCGGTTTTTATAATTCTTATCGTTTCATTAGATCAATATTGGTATGTATGGCAATGAAACAGTCTAAAATCCTATGTCTCGTGCAGTGTGTTAGACAAAAACAGAAAGTCACGGTATCGAATCCCCATAATTATCGTGAGTGTCTATCAGTAGGTCTTACAGTAGTAAGTCTGTAAATGCTTATTATAGACTATTATATGGTTTGTCGAAAATGTAACATTTTACATCTTATTTTAATAACAATATTTAATTTAAACACAATATTTTATAAACATTAATTATTGTTTTAGACATTTTAGTGCTTATAATTTACAATATGTATTCTGTAAAAAATATGTGATTATTACTTATTTTTTTGTTGCTATACATAACTCTATAGGTAGGTATAACTGTACAAGATAGTGAGTGTTTTATGTAGCATTTTAGACTAGGTATATAATAATTTATTATAATTTTGTACAAAGCGAAAATATTTGACCAGGATCAGGCTCTATATCGTTCGTTTATTATCGTTATTCATAAATCGTAAATGTATAAGTTAGTATATAATAGTATTTAGTATTTAAGTTAATGTTAAAACTAGATTGGTCTCTATTATTATTGTTTTAATATCGTCTATTATAGACACGAGTGAATGTGACGTCACTTATTGTCGAGATGAAATTGATCGTAGTTCGTAGGTACACGAGTCTACTGGCTACATTAATCTATTATAACTATACACAAATTACAATTATAGTTTTTTGGCTCACCGATAGCAGTGCTAGTATATTATAGTTATGTATATGTATATATACATATATATATAGGTATATTATAATATATTATTATAATGATGTAGATAGGTTGTAGTACATGCACGAGATTTCGTCACTGCCATTACCACTACCACCACCGTAATCGCCGCGGTCTGATCTACAACACAATTTGTTATGTGATTTGTTTTTTCCGTCTGTCCACGGCGTGGGATAATCACCATTCACCGCGTTACTACGTCAGTCTCGCGTGCGACCTCTTGCCCGTAGTCCGACCCCAGGAAAGTTCTGCACCTCTGTCGTTCTGTTAACGCTCGTCCACCAACACAACCTATTAGCACCTATAAGTCAGCTCTGCAACAACGACATGGCGAAGACTGACGTTTCTGCGGCTGACGGCGGACGATCATGGCCCGACCGAATGACGGCGTGGCAGATTGACACTTACGCGCCGTTTCAAGACTCGGCCACGCTCAACGACAAGGCAGAGTCGCCCGCGTCCCTCGGACCCAAAGAAGTTCTGGTACGTGTCAGGGCATCGTCCGTCAATCCCATCGACGTCCTCATGGCCGGTAAGTAAGCGCCTAACATCACCTTAAGGCTTAGACATTGGCGAAAATACGGGGGGTGGGCTTGGGGTGGCCCCAAATTTCAATCAAGTCTCCCCAGTTCAAAATCTAGTAATTAGTACTAATTTTTATATTCTGTGGTACTAAGCAATATGGCCTATTGGGAGGAGGGCTTGCTTGAGTCCTCCCAAAAAGTTTGGGTAAATTTGCGCCAAAGGGCTTAGATCATATACTATACGCATTTGGCGTATGTTCCGATAATTTAATAGGAACTTATTATAAGTCTTTCGATGAGATACATAATTACACATGCGTACATTTAGAAACTCGTCGCTGTTAAATGTGCGTAAAATTGTTTACACGGCCACAAAGGCAAAATCATCCATGATGGCTCTGTATACGTAAGCTATATATATACTCTATGTCTCTATCCATAATAAATAATCAAATTTTGGCACTTTATGCATTTTGTTCTTAAATCTCCAGAAAAATGTTTCAAAAGTAATAAAAATATAAATTATATAATATAATTCATCAAAAAACAAAAGATAACCAAGAAATTGAATAAATATTTAAAATGGTTTTGAAGACGGCTGTACCAAATAGACACATCGCGCTATGAATAAAATTCATCTAAAAATTACAACTTATTTCACCAATCACCGATTATGTAAAATATGAAAATGCCAATAGGTACCATTATATATTATACCAACCGGTTTTGAATAACTTGGAAATAGCGTCATATTTGTACTGCAGAGTCACTGAATACTGAAATAAGTTAATCTGTATACCTACCTACCTATTATAAAAAAATTAAATTACTATCACGTCTTTATAGAGTAACTATTATACGCAGTCACTTATTATGACTTATATAATGGTTAAACTTTTAAATCACTCTATTTGCATACGTTTTCATTGTATTATTATATAAACGATTATGATTTTTACTCGTAGAGGGTTATGGTCAAGTACTATTGAGCCGGGTCCGGCAGGCGAAAAAAAAGTCATTTTTCAGGACGGTCGAGTTCCCGTTGACTCTGGGACGGGATTTCGCAGGTGAAGTAGTTGCGAAAGGAGCTGAAGTTGGCTCGGAACAAGTGAACATCGGCGACGCTGTTCTTGGCGTCGTAGCTCCTTACCAACACGGCTGTCATGCCCAATTCGTCACCGTTCCCATAACTCAGGTAATGGTCGCTGTTGGTCGCCACTCGCTGGTGTATGGGATAAGCGGATTAATTTGAACTCGAGCGACATCGACACCAAACGTAAAATAAAACTATTTTACTACCTATGTTGTTGTAGGTAGCCAAAAAGCCCGATCATATGTCCTACGAGGAAGCGGCGTGCTTGTTGTACACAGGCCTAACCACGTGGTGCGCCTTGACATCAGCCGGTGGCCTGAATGCTTCAAACGCTGCAGACAAGAACGTATTGGTCATCGGCGGTTCCGGTGGTGTTGGTAATAGTGCGATACAGATACTCAAGTCGTGGGGCGCCAAGGTACTGTATAAGCTCGTGAATCGAAATCGGAGAATAAGTAGCGACTTGATTAAATTATCACCAAGTACACGTTTATATTACGAAGCCAATATAACAATTTGAAACTAAAATGTATTCAAACGTTTTGAAAGAAATTTGATTAAAATATTATTTAGATTCAAAACAATGTTTTTTAAACCAATTTTTTGTGGACCATGGAGCGATAAATATTGAATGTATTGGTTTTATTAAATAATGTTGTGTTGTTGCTTCTTATAGACATTTTAAGTTTTAGTAATTTTTATTTATGTTGGTAGGTACTTACAATATTTTTTCTATATCAAAAAACTTGATTATGTTCCACATATGAGTGGTTCTTAGTTCTTACAGTAGTTAAGAAATATCGAAAATAAATTGTAACAATAATATTTTTATATTTGAAGTTAAATTTTGATTAAGTTTTTCAGAATTGTGAAAATTTGAAAAATAATTGTTGTTAAAAATGCAAAAAAAAAAATTTACTTTTAATACCTAATGCTTAAAATTGTGTTACAAGATTCCTCATTAATTATTGTTCTAACTGGAATTTAAAAAAAGTTTAATGTTAAGCTATGATAATTTTTTATATATAAGCATTTGAAATTTTCGAATAATTTTATTTTATTTTCCTATAAATGTCGATACATTTTTTTCTCAGAATTAGTGTATATTATCGTATCAGAAATAATGAAATAATATATAATTACTAATTATAATGTAAATACAAAAATTATGTAATCATTTATAGTTTAAACAATAAACCCGGATTATGAACATGTATAATACTATACATTTATATTATTATATTAACGTCTGACGCTAAAAATATCAGGCAATTTAAATAATACAGTAAATAATATTTAAATTATACCGTGATAATATCAAACGATAGGAATATTAAAATTAAACTTCAAACAAATAGTATCTTTAATGTTTTATTTGATACAATAGAACTATAGAAGCTTTTGCAATACCTATTACGCCTACTCAAAGCCATCCAAAGCATTCAGCTTATAACGTCAATAGCTTATCTACGATAAGAAATATTTAATAATATCCGATTCCCCTTAGCACTGCCACTCTAATCTGCTAATCAGCATAAACCATACACAATTTAAAAACATCGCTACGAATTATTATTTAAATATTTAACGAACCAAACGATCACATAAATAGAATATTTCTTTATTAGATCACTCTTGCATTGATTAGTGGACATATAAAAGGATGAGAGAAAATTAATAAGCCGAACAAACAGTCAAAGAACCTAGGTACCTGTACCTATCTATTATATATACTACAGATTCTATAGTTAATTATAGATAATAATTATTCTGATTTAGAATTATGCCCATGTTTATCGAACCGTGATTTACAAAATTAAAATAATTCCCTATTATTAAATTATCGAATGACAAAACCAATAGTTTAATTTATAAAATAATAACAATATTGTTTATAAATATTAAGTTTATACCTAAGACACTAAAAAAAGGAAAACACCTACCTATAACCATTTATTACAATATTTAAACAATATTATTACCTACTAAACTTGTAATAGGTAGGTAGTAGGTACCTATATAAATATATATTATACATCAATGATATTAATTCAAATCAATTAAATCAGATATTTATTTTTCGAGATTTTATTATTTTTGTGGTTAACATTTGTTTAATACATATTAACCTAACAGATATGTTTATTTTTTTGGTGTATTTGGGTTACTCGTCTTCATGATGTGCATTAGACATTGCTACTTCTTCAATCGAATCAGATTTAAATGAATTAAGTGTCTGTACTTTATACTTTGATATATCAATGTGTTCTTGATCTCCTGAACTTGAATTAAACAAATATTGCATTAACGTAGGTAACGTAAGTGTTGAGTCGTATTTTGGAAAGCATTCGAACGGATTTGCTAATAATATTTGACATTTTTTGGTGCATTCGCATTTATTATTAGAATTATTCATTTTTCACTTCTAACGAACTAAAAAATGAAATCAAATAAATATAAACAATGGAAACATCAAACATGCAGCTTAACAAATTCTATAGTTACCTTAAAACATTATTATAATTTTGTCTTATTATTATTACTAGATTAATCCTTGGTGTCAAACACTGGCTAACAATTTTATTATAATAAATCTATTTAGTATTATAAGATATAATTGTTTGCTATTACATTGATTTTAAATATTTAAAAATATCCAAAATATCAAATGTCTATAAATAGCTCAATTAGATCTAAAATATTTTAAATAATTTAAATATTTGTGGAAAAACTCAAATTTCTCTTGTTTATTTTTGAATTTAAAAAACCGCGTAATTTTTGTAATTCAAAAAAGAAAAAAACTTATAAATATAATTCCTTAATAAAAACAAGTTGTTTTATAACGACTTGAAAAAATTTAAGAAAATTATTTTCAAAAACATTAATAGTTCTTATTACTAATGAGTAATGACTAATGAGTGTTAAAATGTTAAATGAATAGCTCAAAAAGCGTCAATATATTTTGAAACTAAATCTGATTTTCAACAAGAAACCACCATCAATATTCAAGATTAAAGTATTTTTTTCCGGTATAATTAATAATTTATCAGATTCAGAAAAAACATATCACTCCAAACCAATAAATGCTTTGATCCTCTATCAGAATCTAAAGGGCGTAGCATTTAATACTACTTTATAATATAGCGTATCCACTATACATTATAATGCTATAATACCTATAAAATAGTAAATGTATAGTATAGTCAATATTAATTCGTTAAGTATTTTTATAAAAATGTCATAATATATTCTAAACACGTTAAAAATATTATGGAATTGAATTAAAATTTATATACGCCACAATATTGTAATAGGTACTTATTTAATCAAACAATCAGTAAAAAGGTCTTTAGTGTTTAGTGATATTATTTTACGTATTACAATTTGCTACATAACAACTAGATCGGATTTGTTGAAAACTACAAAACTATCGTAAATTCCATCTAACCATTTCATTAACAATTTATAATTTATAATATCAATGTTTTACATCTCTAGAGTAGCTACTGCCTACCATTTAGCCCAATATTTTCCGTCCGCAATAAATTACAAGTTTACAACGTATATAACGTGTATTGCCGTATTAGTGTATTACAAATTCACATTGCTGTTTTGTATTTTACCACTTTATAATTGTAGCAACTGGAAACTAAATGCATATATAGCAAGCTAAAAAAATTAATATACAAATAATTCATCAATCATTGTTAATAATGTGTAATACCTTTTTCGTTTAACTTAAAATTAAAATATTACATTTTACATAAAAATATTTTATGAATTTTGAAATGTTATTAATTACCTATGTTTTTTTTCTATTATGTAGGTAACTACTACGTGTAGCACAAATGCCATAAATCTAGTGAAAGGACTTGGACCAGATAATATCATTGACTACACTACCGCAGATTCGCAAAAACAGTTGGAACAGTATGGAAAGTATGCAAACATTGTAAACACATCTTAAAATATATAATAGGTATTACCTATATGTAGATAACTGAAATAGTAAAATATTAAATAATAATGCAGTATGCAAGCCCGGATTAAGGATCAATTGGGCTTTCAACTTAAACTTCAAAATAATTGTATCATTACACGACTTTATATTATTGTATAATTTTTTACTATACAAAAAATATACAGGGTGTATCATATGTCATTGTACACGGGTTTTTTTTTAAAAATTATGAATCGGTGATATGGAATTTCGTTAAAACAAAAAAGGACATGTTACTTTATTTTTAACAGGCAATTTTTTTACGATATTTTCAAAATTTTTAAACATGCAGTTGTACCTGCAATAATAAAATCGACTTTATTTTTTGAAATGGTAACCACTACTTATATTTTTTGATGGATTCTGGTAAAACTATTTTTCCGAATACTTTGACAGGCAAATGATCAATTTTGGTTATTAACTATGGTCCTCTAAAGTTTAGTTTAATATGCATTAATACTTTTAACTGAAATACCTAATTTACAAGGGCTAAATATTTTTTTCATATAACTAACTTTGTGTATACTTCAATAGTTAAATCAGTAATCTAAAATGCTCAAAAAAAAAAAAAAAACATAAACAAAATTGTTGGCCAACATAATTCATTATTTATAGTAATTTTTCGAGGTATAAAATGGAGAACAATTTTATTTTATAATTATTAATAATAATTTACCTACTATACCTACCTACCTACTTCAATAATAATAATTTTTTTGAAAACTATTGGATGCGTTAAAAAAATATATATTGGGGATAAAGATGGGCCTCCAAAATCAATGGGCCCCGGGACCGTGCCCCTCTCATAATCCGGGCTAGGCAGTGTGGCGTAGAAAATCGTTTAAATTTATTAAAATGAGGTACCTACATAATATAGGTACTTTACGTTTGATCAGTTATAGTCGTTATAGATAAAATGTAACGTAGCAGACGGATAATAAAAAACCTTTTATTATCTCTGTATAAGAGAAAAGTATCTTTACCGATATACCGTATCGTTGAAATTGTTGACATTATGGTGATTGGTAAATTATAATAATATTCACGCAAAATAATTGTTCAACTAATAATCGATAACATTTTCAACGCTGCATTTTTGTTATTGTTATGATATAATAAAATTACAACTCACATTATAAAGGTACGACCTGATTCTGGACGCGGCCGGGATACCATACGGAGATATCGGCGGAGCGTACACGCCGCTCTTGAAACCATGGTCATGGGCGAAGTTCGTCACGCTCCGCAGTCCAGTGTTGCACAACACGGACTCGTACGGAATGGTGTTCGGCATGCTGAAGAACGCGTTCGACCTGGTGGCGCCAAACGTCTGCTCCGGCGCCCTGTTCAAAGGCTCCACGATCCGTTGGGGTTTTTTCATGCCCGCTGAGCACGGAATTGAGGAGCTAGCCCGGCTAGCCACGGAGAAGAAGATCACCGTGCCCGTTGACAGCGTTTACGGGTTCGCGGACATGAAGGAAGCGTTCGGCAAGGTAAAAGCTGGACATCTCCGGGGCAAAGTGGTCGTCAAGTTTGACGAAAAGTAACTGAAGTGCCTCAAATTCCAGAATTTTGAGAAACATGGACCGAACATGATATAATATTATATCTATTATCTGGCTTGTCCGTGTAAAGTCCATTAGCTTCTGAAGCTCATTTATGTCTTCCCGAGAAATATATCATCCATCCTATAAATTATAATGATTGATTTTTAACTTAGATTTCTGTATCTACTCTTGTACCTATATGGCTACATTCTATTTTACATTTCAAAAATATATCATTCATTCATCTATTATCGAACAGATAGTTAATTATCACAAAAAGTCTAAATCAGCTTGATCGTTGATCAACGCGATTATATACAACAAAAAAAGCCGGCATCGTTGGCTATCAGCTATCTTATTTGTGTATGTCCAAAAATATATAATCCTATAATCTAAAATGTAATATAGTTTAATGTCCATGTCAATGTGTTATTGAAATCAACTTTTTTTTAGTACAATTATTGTAACTAGTAGTTTTAACTGTGTAAATTTTTTTGTTATTTTATTTTATAAGTGCTAATTGGTAATAAAGATACATTATATTGGCATTTTGCTTTAATTTATTATTTCATTAATTTATAATGTAGTAAAATTATCAAAGTGTAAGTTTGTACAGGCACAGTACCTGATCACCGCTATTTCCACACCCATATTATTTGTACATCACAAAAAGAAGTTCATAATTTCTTTTATTTCTATTGACTGTTGAGTGTTAAGACAACTGAGTGTATCTTAAAAGAAGATAGTGTATGATCATGCAGGCTTTGAATATGAATTGTACACTAATAGATAGTTAGATTCGGTAAAATGCAAACTATGTAGATAAAAATTAGTTCCCGTAGTCCGGACTAAGATATAATATATCTTACATAAGATATTACATGTTATATCTTAGTCCGTGGTTCGAAGCACTTCTTCTGGTAGATATTTTGTATACAGGATATACAAAAAAAAAACACTTGTAAAACCACTAGCTTCCTCACTCCGCTTAGAATCTAAAATAAATAATACTAATAATTGAATATTGAGCACCACAGAAGAGATGATGATGAAAAAAGTATTAATATTTGAATTACCTATGTCAAAAATATATTATACTGAACATTTTATTTATATAAATTAAAAATTAAATTCATTGATTAATATATTGTAGTTTGTGGATCAAAAATGATTATAAATTATGATAATTAATAAACAAATCAAGAATAAATAATGCATAAGTTTATGAAACTAACTCCTTACATTTTTTATCAACTGTAATTGTTTAAATGTAAATTAAAAAGTATTTGAATTCTAAATAGTGCTCTGTTCCCTGATAAAAAGGTGAAGAAAAATACTCAATTAGTATTATGTGTTATACTTAACTCTAAAGAGGAATATATTTTGTACTCCCCTAGTTGTTGTACTTAAAATAGTAAAATAAAATGAAGTTCTGCCAAATATCGGTATGTTTTAATCATATTAAAATAAACAGGTCACTCAGTTCACAAATCAATAAATAATTGTAGTAGTCAACATTTAAATAAAACAGGTCTATATTATGAAAAATGTATGAAATAATTTATAATTTTATGAACAAAAATATTATATCAAATGAAGTAACCATAAAAAGTGCAATTAAAAAAAAAAGTTTAAATAGTGATAGACTATAAACAAAACAATAGTACTAAAATAAACAATAGTCTTGAAATGGTTACATACATAATGGTCAATAAATAAAAACTAATGTAAAACATTTAAAACAGAACAATTAAATTAAATTAACACAAAATCAAAAAAACTCAACCATAATAGATTTTAAATATAATTAACACACAACAATAAAATTCAAAGTCTTTTGGTTACGTAAAATAGTAAAAGAATAAAATATTTTACCAATTATAAAACTATGATGGTAATAAATATTATTCAAGTGTTTAAAGCACCGAATTATTAAGTTAACCATAATAAATTGTGAATACTAACAGTTTAATACAACATGCATCTGTATAAAAATGTTAAAAATTAAGATCGTAAACAATTAAATAAATTATAAATAAAAAAAAAAACAATTAAATTAAAATAATTCTGGTAGGCATCAGTCACAAACAATAATGATAATATTAAAAAATGCATTATGCATATGTAATATGAAGTTCCAATTGAATAATAATGAAAACATTAGTTAAAGTTTCTAGGAATTCTATGGACTCTACATCTCAAAGTTTCAGCAAACATTGATGTTTTGTCAATTTGCTGTTCCATGAATGTTTGATTACCGAGTATTAATAAGGTGCATTCTAAGTACTTATTGATCGACATTCCAAGTAGACTCTGGGCAGCTAAAGAACGAATCTTACCAAGTTTCTCAAGCAGTTGATTTAGCAGTTTCTCCATGACAAGGACTATGTCTTGTTGTAGTTGGTCGCCAACCACACAATTCTTGTTCGGGATGGGATAATGCAATATGTCTCGCATATACGACATGAATTCACACAGTTCATTAGGAGTAACTTCCAAATCCAAAGCCTGTAATCAAAAGTAATTTACATTTATTAGTTTTGTTTACCCAAAAGTCATAAAGGTATGTATTCAAAATATTACCAATAATAAGTTGTTCAACTTTTGTGAACGATCCCTCAACGTCTTTGTTGACAAGCATATCTTTTTTTGAGCACCTCTTGTAATGGAATTTTTGTTAACTTTAGCTATGAAATCATCAATATTGTCCTCATCAATGAATTCAATTTCCAGATAACTGAGGCTGTTGAAGAACCATTGGTATTTGTGTAGTTTCAAGTAGTGAAGCCACTTAGCAACTGCTCCATCCATTTCTTGATCGAGAATCGTAAGATTGTCAATTGACTGTGGGTCTTCTAAGGTACTGGCCATCTTGTCTTTGCAATCATTTCCAGATGGTTGTAGCCAAAACATTCCACTGAAAATACAAATTGTACAACTTATTTAAGTATTCTTATGTGATTGGTCAATGATTAATTCTTACTTCTAAAATGTGGTAGACCAGGAGCAGAATTTAAATTTGTCGGTTGCAGAATGTTTGGCCAAACAGAGGTACTCGGCTGTTGAGCTGGCCGAATATTAAATGGTTGAAAAGGATCTACGTGTGGTGGTCTAAAATAATTTGGCCAAAAGTTTCCTGTCAACGTTTCAGTCGGCATGTGGCGCTCACGACTGTTGTTCAGTTGATTTACTTGGTTAATTAGGTGTTTCAAATTCCTGAAAATTTATAAAATGGTTTTATTAGTTGAAAAATGTATTGAAAAAAATCAAAGTTTAAACTCACTCGTGAATGATGGTCAAGTTTGGTGATTTCTCAATCAAATTGCATATTTTCACTACTATCTCAATGTTGGTACCATTTGCAATTGTTTGGTTTAGCATATGCCTTAAATTGTACATATACCCCTCTTTGGCCATTATGTTGTTATTTTTTACCAACATTAATGCTTCATGAAGTTTTACAAATGATTTGGACGATTGATTATTTAACCATTTAGTAATTTTACTTGGATTATTGGAATCCAGTTCTCTTTTTTTCATCTCTCTATGTATCATCGTGTATAGATCAGGATAGTTGAATGACAGATGATCTAGAGATTCACTCAGACGTTCTTGTCGCTTTTTGAATGATTTACAGTGCATTAATGCCTCTGCTAGCTGTTTCATTTCGTCCACTGAAAATAAAGACATCAATATGAATTAAAAAATCCCAGAAAATAATTTTTTTGATGGAAATAATTATAAGTAGTTTCCTACCTGAATATATCAACTTTTGAAGACAATAATAATAATACGATTCTCTATTTTCATATTCATTAAAGTATATAAATTTCCTAAGAGGATATTTGTTATTAATATTCAGACCTAGCGCAGCTTAGATAAAACGCATTCATTAAAAATGATTTCACATATTGACATTATCTTTTATATTATATTAGACTTACAAAAATAAAAAAATGTGTACATTTAAATGAATATTAAGAATGGTTTTGAGACATTATTTAGACAAATCTTACTTTCAAAAATATTATTCTCAATAATTTTTATTTTGGGTGAATTAGCCGTAAGAATGTTAGATTACTCAAAAACATTAATAAAATTGCGTTAGACAGATAAAGAAAATAATCAGTGGGCTGACATTTTCTTAAAATCTAACCATCTAAAATCAATTTAGAAGAAAATCTTATTTGATTGAATTTTTTTCGGACCGACAGATCATAATTTATATCCATACCTACATGTTTATTTAATCTTTGATGTGTTTTTTATTTAAAAAGGTTTAAAAATATTTTTGTTTTATTATTTAATACTATTATAATAAGTATATTAAATAAGGAAATAAATTAGGAATGACGTGAATATTGATTAATATGAATATTATATAACATACCTACCTATAAACATTTTCAGACATTGGTAATACAAATAATAAAGCCTACATTTAAAGCTTTCGGTGGTGGTACTTCAAATTATAATATTATTATTGTATGGATTATTTATTTATTTATGAAATAATAAAATGTCAACACTTACTGTTTAAATATTCAGTCGATAAATTGATATTACGACGCTTGGTAGCTACAGGTGGTAGTAAATGTTTCGGTATTTTGACTCCAAAAGACGTACGAATTGTAAGATCTCTTGAAAAGTGCTACGAAAGTTACACCTCAACGTCAGAACACGGTTTGTCGGTTGATCGCTGAATCTTCTAGTCCTCAGGTTGTTTTTTCCAATACGGCTACCCCCTCTCAAAAACCACTTTTTAGCATGCGATAGGTACTAGGTAGGTAGGTATGAGTTTACTATATGTCTGCATCCCTCTTTTATATGTTACTATACACATACAATAACAATGGATTTTTGTTATTGTATTCAAGATATCGTTGATTTTATACTTGGTACAGTAAAACCTCCTTATAACGGACACCCTATAAGACGGAAATCTCTCTAGAATGGAAAATAACCAATTCCTCGAATAACTTATCGCGTATATTTTAGTCTCCCTATAACGGAAAACTCTTTACAACGGAAAAATTTGTCAGCCCGAGCGATTCCGTTATAGAGAGGTTTTACTTTATATTCTAATATAAATGATTTTATATTGTAGTGTAGGTACCTACCTATATAATAATATGTTTGATTTGAACAATTTTAATTAGTATACAATAATATATTATATCATTATATGGTTTACAAATGTTTTTTAAATATTAATGTTTAACACTTAAACCTGGAAATAGATTAAATTTAAACTTTAAATCTTAACTTTAATCTAGTCTGTGCTTAACGCCTTAACACAAAATTCTATCGTATGTATAATTTATATAGGTAGTAATTTAATTACAGTTTCAATTTCAAATAACGATAGTTTGGAGCATATAACAGTAAACCTTGTTTTAAATTATTATTTTTTTTGTTTTCCACGGTTTGAAAAAATTACTTACCAACCATCAATTTCTCCACCAGAAAAGTTACTGAAGTTAAAAATAAGTTATATGAAGTTTTTTTTAATAAATATAAAAATAAAATATACACATTGTAAAATCATTTCATTCATTATTGTAGAATACAATTGCTATTATTATATAATTCATAATGTAATTGATAACTCTTAATATAACTATTTTTTTTAAATAAATAAATTGGCTTTTTTTGCATGACTTATTTTTTACGTGGATTTTTACCGTGGATTTTTTTCTACATTCATTATATCTATACAATATTATTATACCTATTATAGATGACTCAAAAATGTAACGTTTAACAAATTAAATAATTTGAAAATTGAATTCATAGGTATTGATTTTGAGTTTTACATTAAAAAAATGTGTGTGTTTCATATAGGTATATATTTTGTAGGGTGGCCGTAGTAGGTAAGTACAGCAGTTTTCGTTTAATAAAGAATATTTTACGGCCAAATATTTTTTGATTATTGTCTCGAGTTTTATAATATTGAGACTTGGTTTGAATCGACTATATTATAATATGTTAAATTAAAATATTTTTTTACTAAAGAAAAGATTGGATTATGGATTATTATTTTCTTAGTAAGCACTAAGCAGTTAGATTATTTAATTTAAAAGTACCTATTTGTCCTATTTACTTATAAATTACATATTTTTTACCTTGTTGGAATGAAAATCATATTCATAAAATTAATCGACTTTCGAGTTCTTGGTGTAAAATAATAATTGATTTTAATTACTATAGGTAAGTATATTATAATTTTCTAATTATGCCTCATGGAATTAAGTTTATTTTTTAGTATAAATCACGAATCAACTCACTAAATTAAAAAAAATGGTTTTTATGTGATTAATAAATAATATTTTTTGTAAGTAATCATTTATCACATTGATTTTATGGCTTATACAATATTGTAAATTCCAATATAATGTTGTATTTTAAGTGAGTTATGAGCATTTTTAATTTACATAATACATTTATTATACACGCATAACTCACTTAAAAACTGAATTATCGTAAAAAATTCTAGTAAAACACAGATAATATTCTTACGATCAAGTTTTATAAGAAGTCGATTCACTCTAATTTTTTAGTTAACGACATAAAAGAGAATTTCTGAGCCCAAATTTGGTATGTTACGAGTTTGTAAATCTGAGGCGGGTGGGTCCTCATAAAAATAAATTTTAATCATTTTTTAAAATGTTAATCTTGTGAATTGAATAATTTGTAGTTTTTTTAACTAGTTATAGAGGAAAGTAAATATTGAACAAAAAAATGTAATTACCTATTGGGTACCCATCTCATTAAAATGTAAAAGAACAATGGTTACATATAAAATAGGAACCAGTGTAATAAGGTAATATTTTATTATAATACTTAGGTATGAATATGATTCTTCAATATACTTCATAGTCTCATAGAAAATAGTTCTTAACAAAAAAAAATCTATGTAGTTACCCAATTTCTTAAGCAATAGTATATAGGTACTATTTTGCTTTTGCCTATAACTATATTCACTATTCAAATATTATAATATAAGATATTATATAAAATGTACCTACAATAAAATATACAAAATGTGTTAGTTTTTTTTAAATTAGTTTTACTAAATTGTAAAAAAAAACAAATGAAGGAGGTGGCTACATCCAAATATTTCCGCCTGCACAAAATTTGTATATATTCCAGGTAGGTAGTCTAGAAATAAAAAATCATTGCAATCGAGAACATAGAATTTTTTTTACAATCATTGGCTGATTTCGACAAATGTACCATGTACAGACGTCAGACTTCCATACCATATTAACTATATACAAATCTGTGGTACCCGCCATATTAACAGATTAAACTCTACATTCCACTGCATACGGTTGACAGCTGAAAGGTGGAGTAAGGAACAATAATAAAGGCCGCCGCCACCGCGACAGCAAGCCGAGGGTCAGTCTTATCCTGCTAGCTATTTTCTACGAAAACCTTTTTTTTATCAAACGTTACTATATTACAGGATTACCAGTAAAGAAGAGTTCTTTAACTTTATTGTTATGTCTCAATATGTGCTTATAAATATAAATCAAATTGGCAGTGTCAAGGTCCGATAACAAATTACAGTTCAGAAAAAGGTATTTCACACAAATGATGTATAGACGTATAGTGTACGCAACATTTCGACAAAATCTAAATATTGGTTTTTATTCTGATAATATGAATAAAATAAAAACGTATTGTTGTTGGTCTATAATTTTTTATCTTTGGAACGAGTTTGTAAATGAACACTATTTGATTTAATGTATGCCTCAGTTTGAATTTCATTTATAACACTCAACCAGACGCTTAATGGTGGAGAAATATGATTAAAATGTTGTTAAAAAAAGAATGAAAAGATTCACATGCGTTAGTTGTTCTTAATAATTCCGAGGCATTAGCTGCCCAAATGATGGGCGGAAAAAAAGCCCAGATATGAATATAAAAATAAATGTGAACACACATGTATACAGGTATAGGTAGGTACTCTATTCGACTATTCCTAATTAGTAATTACCACGTACCTACCTATATCAAAATAATATAATAATACATAATAATGAAAATAATAATTAATTGTTAATTGTATAAAATATAGATTGTAAATAAATCAAAAATATAAATATGAACACAATATTTTGTATACGTCATGATATAATGTTGTGTTATTTGTTATAAGTCAAAAACATCAGTCAATATACATAGTACACAGAACATACTACTACTATAAGTTATAAGTCAAAAAACACAAGTCTTAGGTTTATACATACTAAAATATTATCTATTGTCTAAATATATTATACTACCACAGTACCACCTGTTTTGTAATAACTTATTATATTATTATATTTTATACATATAGTTGTGTACTTGTGTAATTTTTGTACCTATACATTTTAGAATGTATATACCTAAGGGTAATCGAAATAAAAATCCTCAGGAAATAGAATCCCTAGAGAAAAAATTCCCCCACGAACAACCCCTGAAAAAAATCCCCAGACTACATTATAATACCTACCTATTAATCACAACCACATGCAAATGGTTGAACTAATATTTTTTAAACGTTAATTAGTACCTACCTATCTATAATTACCACATTATTAATATTTAATTACAAATACGTATACCTACCTAATATATTATATTATACTAACCACTAGGTTAGGTTAGGTTCAAAA